TGTGTTTTATTCAAAACTAATAAGCAAAAAATAAAAACGAATAGAGTGCAACGGACTAGTCACCCGCGAACTGTTTCTCTGACCTTTTTTGCGTTTTGTTGTTTATCATGAAATTAAATTACTTGTAATTAAAAAAAAATATTATAGATTATTTTCCCGTTACAATTCACTGGTCTGATGAACAAAGTCGACGTGGACGCTAAGGTGTGGAATGGCGGTACAACAGGTCAGTCCGGTGCCATACGTTGGGGAATATCATGGGCCTTAAGAAGTTTCGTTGACATGCAGATGTTGGAAAAAATGAGAATTGGTATGATTTTTTCACTGCTTGGAATTCATTTGGTGTTTCACATTATTCTATTCAAAATCGATTTCTCATTTCAGCTGGATTGCTTTCGAGAGATTGGCGTAGACGTGAACGTAAGAAGCCTGGACAAGAGGGTGCCAGGAGAAAGTTCACTTGGAAGAAACGTTAATACGAAACGAAAACTCCTTCAATAAAAACTTTTATTATCGTATTGTTAAATAACGTCTCGTTGTGTAATAAACTCTTTAGAAAATGGTGATTCTTATAAATTGAAATTACATTTCACTGAGTGGCGTTAGTCCTAGTAATCTCATTCCATGATTCAAGACTTTTCTTGCGGAATGCATCAGCAGCAGTCTCTGTCTGGCTAATTCCTCTTCTTCTCCCTTTATCTTGAGAACTTGTAAGGCCTTACCAATCGCGTGGCTAAAAAACAGTTGTTACTGATTAATTTCATTTTTTTTTTCTTCATTTTCATATAACTATTTTTTTCCCACCTCAAAGTAAATAAATAATGAACAAGTATGTAAGGTTCCAGCTCTTGGTAGGATTTAAGTAAAACTTCGTCAAATCTACCGATGCAAAAAATTAAATCCTCGGCTACTGGCTCCTGAAGCAGTGACGGAATGCATTCGGAAGCTATTGTAGCACCTGAATTTTTTTCTAAACTGACAAGTCTGCAATGAGCATACTGCATACTGACTCCGGTATCACCTTTGACCTGTAAAATTATTAGTTTATTAACTATGAAAAAAAAAGCAAAAAAAAAAAAAAAAAGAGGAGGCGCGTGCGCTCGTTTTCGCGCGAAAGGAGACCGACGCGCGGAGCTGACGAAACGAAACGGACGAAAAAAAATACGAAGGATAAAAGTGTGTAACGAAGAACGCGAGGGAATAAGGATAGCTGAATGGGAGCATAATGCGCGCTAAAAGACTGTCTATAGAGCGCAGCTGAAAGTGCCATGCGCGATTCCCATATATGCATTTTATATATACCATGCAGATAAACAGATAGACGGGGTGTATGGATGGATGTCTTTTGTATATACATATATATACGTCGAGTGCATTGTGTGCTGCTCGCGAGGAGGAGTAGAAAGTTCCTGTGTGAATTTCGCGGGTACAGAGTGCACCGTGTACGGTCGGAGTATAGGAGACAATGCCGAACCAGCCCTATTGTTGCACTTCATACACACGCGCGCGCGACTGTTTGCGATCTGGAGCGATTTCTGTTGGCGCAACTTTTGCGCCTTTTTGTTTCTGCCTAGCTCCATTTGGATTGCTCTTTTGGCGATTAGGGGAAAGGGCCGGGGTTTTCGGTAACGAAGGATTTTTCCTTGCGATTTTCGTACCGCTGCCGATCTATTTTTCGAGCCACTCGAAGTCGATGCTGACGTCAAAAAGTGCGTAAAAGTGCCATTTTTTTATCCAAACCAACCATCTTACACGCGGATTCTCTATAACACGGGGCACACAAAAATATCGTTAGATATGTATGACATGACGTGACAAATCAAAGCAGGTGCCATATATGCGCATGTGTGCAAACACAGATCGATAAACGAACATCTGTCGCAAGGAAAAATTTTGTTGTCGCGTGTGCACAACGGTCTTATCTTTCGCTTCTTATTTTTTTATTTTTCAGCGTTTTCGTTACACAATTCACCGCATAAACGATCTTAATCGGTTTTCTCCGTGTTTCCGTACGTCTCGTCAGGCCTCGCTCATTACTGATAATGTACCTATAGTAAATCGACACGAGCAAACAGTTATCACTGTAAAATTACATTTTACGAGATACCCGTTATCGCCTCTGCTTCGTGTAATCAAATGTACCAACAAAAAAAAAAAAGATCTCATCACCCACGACGATTCATCGCGCTAAAAAAAAATATCCTATAGAACGGAATTGGAAAATCACTAGATTAAAATTAAACAAGAGGAAAACGTATATACATATACATATAAATGCGTACTATATAGCGACCTCGAGTGGAACACCATATATAATACCAGGTATATTTATATATATATACTTTGGCCGTGCACACGAGCGCAGCCGTGAGCCGATAAAGCGATCGATGATGAAGTAAGTAAGTACAATGTGAAACGGGGGGAAGCGACGCGTATATACAATATTATACCGCGTCTGGCTGGTGGGCGCGTGGGTCCGTTTTAATGAGTTGTAGGTTGTAGTTGTATACAGGTATAGGGGGTTGATCAACCTTATACAGCGCGTGCGAGCACCTTTGATCGTGCATGTGAAACCCCCCTGGTGCACCCGATGATCGACGTCACACGAGAAACAGGTGTCCGACTCTGTCTGGCATAAGGGGTGTATTGGGATATAGAAATATATATATATATATATATATATATATGGTATACTTCCGCTCGGCGCGTCACGCTTCAATGAGACGCACGTTCACGCCATGCACACCCCCGTAGGTATATATATACCTATGTACTGATTGCGTATATTTACCATTTGGACACTGCATAATCGTGCTTTTTATCTCTACTCGCAAAGTTGTTGATGTTGAGTGACTCATCTGTATGTGTTGGAAATCTGTTGGGTTTATCCTATCTATAAAAATTTATACGTCATGATGGGACGTGTATCCTAAAAAAAAAAATCAATAAAAAAAAAACAAAAAAAAATTAATATTAAAATGAGTTTTTCTATTGGTTTTGGTTTTGACCATTAACGTACTTTTACTTGTATCAGAGGAATTGCAGTTGTTTTTGACCACAGCACAACTTACTTATATCCCTTTTACAGGTATGTCATGATGTATATACCGATGTTACCACTGAACACCTGCCAAGGGGTTGAGGCAAAGTTTTACCACAGGTTATACGTTAGTTGTATATGCCATGAACTTCCGATACGCCGTACCCATACTTAATCGCGCATCGTCATATATATACCTATACGTAATACTTATCTCCCATTTTAGAAAATTGCACAACTTTACGGATACTACAGCTTTGATGGCTGTATAACGGTCCCCTCGCCAACTGCACGGGAGAACGTAAATTATTATACCCCGATGATAAAATCATCCATTCGACACCCCAATATAATTTATACCAATGCCAATAAAACACTCCATCATCGTCATTGTCATCGCTTTATCTCTCGTAAATACCAACATGACAAAATAATATATAAAAAAAAATAAATATTACGGACTATATAGTTGATCAAATCACCTGTTATCCCTTTAGCGGATCCACCTGTCGTTTCCTACGGATGCGAGCCGATGGCAATCGAGGCAATAAAAAAGCCGATCGCCAATACAATGTCAACGATGTCCATCACGCTTGCTGACTCGAAAAAGTGTGGGCGAGCCGATTGTATATGGTACATGTAAAGGCATCTCGATTTTTGATCGTCGATCGTTATTACAATACGCACGAAAGGGTAAAAGTGTCTATATACGTGGTACAAAAGCAATTTCACGCTGCGTCGAGCTCACTCGTTTTCGGAAAATTTCGATCAAGAGAGGGGGCCTACATTACACGGTAGACGCTCACGTTCAAGGTCTCGTTGGGTTGCAGCGCATTATGGTGTAATTTTAGTGAATTACCGATTACCTGGCTGTACATAATAGTTACGTAACCTAAAGAGCGATCGTTATAATACGTGGGAACAGCGATAATTGGAGGGCTCAAAGTGCGATGAATACGCAATTTGTTTTTCTTTCTTTCTTTTTTTTTTTTTTCCTTTTTTTATTCATACGAGGAATAAAGCGCCGATCTTTACCGAGCCTACCGATTTTCGCGTTCTTGATTTTCCATACGTCTTAAGGGTTAAGGTTGAAAAAAAAAAAAAAAAAATGTATATATATTTCCTCGCAAAAACTGTCAGTCCTTGGCTACGAATCGATCGGTCTTGAAAAAGAAGTCATCCAAAGCCACACATCGAACGGAAGAGGCGAGGCAAATCTCATTTGTGCCATTCGTGTCCAAACAGTATAATAAAAATACAATCACAAACAAGTCGGGTGTAGGTAACCATTTCAATTCTCGGGAGCAAATGAGTATAAGTATGTGGTCAGATTTTTTCCACCAGACGTGTAGATGCACAAAGTAGGAAAGTGGCAGGTACAACAACAGCTACTGTAGGTTGGACGCGGAGAGGAGCTTCGCGCTGGGAACGCCGTGTCCGAGGTAATACCTCCGGATCCGCGGAATTAAATTACAGACCGAGAGTTGTACACTCTCGCATGTACGTAGCGTATTGTCCGAAGCTTCATTTGCCGCGAAACTTCTTCACCCGTGCGGATGTGGAGTGAGCACACGTGATGACCGTGGATTACGAAACCATGAATATTCCATCCACGCCGATTGTCTATACCCCTCCCCCCTCCTCTCCCTAGCACGGTGAGATACAAGTAACATTTTGTTGCTCCGACGACCGCACGCGGAACTCAGGATTCACGCGTCAGTTCTAATTGTGTACGTAACAAGACCTTGCCAAGGTTGCTTTTTTTTTATCGGAGATTAAATAGTTGCTGTTAAAATTGTTTTCCTCCAAAAAATACACAATCACAGCGATGAGCAAAAGAAAAAAAAAAAAAATGTAAGGCAGGTCTTGTATACGCCACTTGCCGATGACCTCGGACAATCAGAGGAGGATGTAAGGGCAGGCAAAGGAAAATTGAGGGGCATCAGCAGAGGCGTAATAGTATACCCATATATACGTGCATGCAACGAGCTGACCGGAGCGCCAGGTATGAATTTCCATGGGGCGTGTACAACGACTGCGGGCTTGCGATTTTACGCACAGACGTGACGCGCGAGACAAAGAAAAAAAAAATACGTGCAGAGAAGGAAGGAGCGTGTCGAGGGTAAAATGTGTGTTGTACGGGCGCACGAGTTACGCATGCGTTAAGAGACTTATCATTAGCCGACCCCTCTCGAAGCCGTCCGTCGAGAGGCCTTTAACGCTTGGCTCGACGCAGGTTCAAGGGACCCGGGAGGGTAGACCGGCAAGTGCCTCCGACGCTTCTTCGTTCTCTTTTGTTTCCTGGCGCGTGTTTTTTTGGAGGAGAGGCGCGATAGGACTTCTCCGACATCCGGCTGTCATCGTGCGTGCGTGGGTCTTTTTTTTTTTTTTTTTTTTCGTCGACCCATCGCTACGACTCCGTGCGCATTGGGTTTCTTTTTTCTTTTCAAATCGACCTTGGGATATCGGGGAAAAATC